TATATGTAATCTAGCTGATTGGCTTTGCTAACGTATGCGACAGATGTACTTCTGCTTCATGCAGGGATTCCAAGCTTCCAATACAAAGACACAATCTTATGTATCACGTCCACACTAACCCAATGTGTCGTCTCATCCTCACACAGAGAGCGTGTGCCCGTTAATGCTTGCGGTGTGTACGTATACGTTTTATATCCCGGAGCGTTCGTGGACGTGGCTATGGACGCACTAGGTCGCCTTGCGCCTGCCAAACAGGTACGCCCTTTGACCTCTCTTTCCAAATCCGTTAAACGCGATGCTGAGACAGACGTCTCTGTCTGTGTAGTTGAAAGTAGGGTGAAGGTGCTTCACTCCCTTGAGACTGGTCTGGGGTGTTGTGTGAGTGTGGATACAGGCAGTGTGTGTAAAACCTCATGACTACCCATCTGCCTGTCCATTCATACGTTGCTTGATGTATGTTTACATACCCCTCGAACATCTTACTTCCGTCTGTTAGGCAGGTGTATAAACCCTACAACCCTAAAACCCTACAACCCTAAAACCCTAAAACCCTAAAACATATATCGTCTGGCGCTGAGTCGTTGCGCTGTGTTTCTCGTTTGCTTTGTACAGACATACTCGGCTGTTGTGTGCATGCTTACCGTCTGTGTGCTTGCAGGAGATGTTGTGTCACGTGCGCGTGTCAACTGATCTGATTGGCTGTTCCCATCACTTCACCAACTCAAGGTTGTGTTGATAAACAACCTAAACCCTAAAACAGGCTAAAAGGTTGAGAAGCCCTAAAACCTAAAACACAACTAAAAACCTAAAACATAACCAAAAACCTAAAACACAACTAAAACCCTAAAGCACAACCAAAAACCTAATACACAACCAAAAACCTAAAGCACAACTAAAAACCGAAAACACAACTAAAAACCTAAAGCACAAATAAAACCTAAAGAACAACTAATAACATAAAGCACAACTAAAACCTAAAGCACAACTGAAAACCTAAAGCACAACTGAAAACCTAAAGCACAACTAAAACCC